CATGTCCCCATCTCTGCCTCCATCTCTGGAGTCACTGCTTCTCTGTATAAGGTCCCACATTCCGCTCCTGCTCTTCTCTCTAGATGGTCCTAGGGTCCTCTGTTTCTGTACTGTAACATTTCTGTACTTCCCCCTTTTTGTTACAAAACTTTTACCTTTACACCTGTGACAGTTACAGTCAGTCGTGATAACAATTTCTCTGTCTTTAACTACTTTTTGAAAATTATCTTGACTTCATCTTCTAATTCTTATGTTTTGTTATTGTTGTTAAGCACCACATACTTTTTATTTTTTTAAGTAGGGAGGGAATACTTTTAATTTCTAAGAGTTAGTCTTTTATTATTATTATTATTAAAAAATGGCAACCTGTTCTTGTTTTGATGGATAGAATGTCACCTTAGAGAGATCCCCAGGAAACACTGCAGAGAGCAAAAGAACATTTCAAAGGTGGGCTTAGAGACTCCCTGATCAGTGTGCAGATTTTGCACAGTTCATTCTCTGCCTGACATGTTACCATGGCTGCCTTCTGTACCAGGGGCCCATCTGGTTTACATTATCCAGCGATTTTCATATCATCAGAAGGTAAGTATGAAGACGATGGATTCTGAGACTTTCTAACAATTCCTTTCTTTTCACCTTCCTATTTTCTATCTAAAGGAGCTCTGGTAGTGTTTATGAATCGGGCCGCGAACTGCAAGGTCAGCAGTTCGAAACTACCAGCTGTTCCACGGGAGAAAGATGAGGCTATCTGCTCCCATAAAGATTTACAGCCTCAGAAGCCCTGTACAGGATCGCCATGAGTCAGAACTGACTCCATGGCACAAAACAACAACAACATCCTCTATATATGCTGTCCCTAGGTGGTACAAATGCTGGCTAACCACTGGTGGCTAACCAAAAGGTTAGACATTGGAATCCACCCAGAAGTGCCTGGGAAGAAAGACCTGGTGATCTACTGCAAAAAAATCAACCATGGATAACCCTATTGAGCACAGTTTTACTCTGACATACATCGGGTCTTCATGAGTTGAAATCAAGTCAGTGGCAACTACCAGGAAACTAAACAAAAATCACCCATCTGTCTTCCCCAGCACCTGGTGCCTTCATTCATAAAGAAGGAAAATGGTCTTGCTTCTCATGGGGTCCTGTATCCCTTCTCCACCCAGAAAGTCTTCAGGTTGACCCTTTCCTTTCTAACTCATTTACCATTTCCTCATCTACTCTGCCTTCATGTATTTTGGTCTGGGAATGCAAATATCTCTTGGATATAAAAAAAGCTTGAGTTTCTTACTTTTTGTGGTTGTTGTAGTTAAGTGCCGTTGAGTTGGTTCTCACCCATAGTGACCCTGTATAGGGTTTCCAATGAGTGACTGGTGAGCTTGAACCACTGACCTTGTAGTTCAAGGAACATTAATCCACAGTGCCACACTTAGGATACCTTTATTTTTTCTTTTTAAGTTTTTATTGTGAATTGAGGGATCATTTACATGGAAGAACATTGGTTTTACACTCATTGTTTCATTGCAGTGAATCTCCTCCATGCATCACCATTCAACAGTATTTGCTTCTATTCCCTGTTTTTGTTTTGTTTGATTGGTTTTGGTGGGGGAGATGTGCACAAAAACACTCAGGAATATATAATAATTTAAACAACCAAAGGGCACATTCTGCAAGCTTGCCTCCTGGCTGCCAGCATACAGCCTTTCTCTTTCCACGAGTCTAGAGTCCTCAGTTGCTGTATCTCTCCATGTCCTCATCTCTGCCTCCATCTCTGGTATGGCTGCTTCTCTGGGTAGGGTCCTGCATTCCACTTGTGTTCTTCTCCCTTGACGGTCCTAGGGTTTTTTGTTCCTGGACTATAAGATTATAACTACTCACCCCTTTTTGTTACAAAATTTCTACTTTTACATTTGTGACAACCACAATTAGTCATGATAATAATTACTATTGAATCATAAAAATATTATTCCCATCTCCTTTCATGAGACCCATCTAGACAAGATGAAAACTATTCAGTAGGGATTCTATCTTCCCCTGCACACTCTGAAACTAAACTACCTCTTGAAATCTTGGAAGCCTGTCACTTTGTGCCTTTATAGCCGTCACATTTTAGGTAGCCAATGTCTAAGTTGTTTGTGCTATCAACTCTGCGTACAGGGATAGGATAAGCTCTGGACTGCTAGCTGCAAAGTTGACAGTTCAAACCCACCAGCTGCTCCACAGGAGGAAGATGAGGCTTGGAAACCCTATGTAGTTGTTGGAATCAACTCAGTGGCAGTTGGTATTATTTGGCTTAAAGTTGAGCTCCAGGAATGTGTCTACTTTCAAGTTAGAAGACTTACTCAGGGCAGTAATCTTGGGGGTTCCTCTGGTCTGTCAGTCCAATAAGTCTAGTCATTTTAGGAATTTGAATTTTGTGCTACATTTTTTTCCCATTCTGTCCAGGATGTCCTTGGTCAGTATGGTGTAGGGCATGGTAGCCGGACACCAGCGGGTTCTTCCATTCTCAGGTGTGATTCATGTGGGCCATTAGTTCTATGCTTCAGGAGGCAAGAGACTAATAATTGCTTCTTAGATGGCCACATGCAAGTTTTTAAGATCCCAGATGCTACTCACTAGGTTAGGATATAGGGCATTTTCTTTATGACAATTGACCTAGATGTCCCCTGAGTCTAACACACTAGGATTCATGTTCTGATAAAAGAACAAAAAGTGGCATATTTCAAAGGCGTGTGTAGGTACTCTCTAGGTTATGAACGAGATCCATTCCTAAGTGTGTCTTTATGTTGAATTTGTGGGTGAGTTGGCACAGGTGCATATAATTTCCAATTAAACCTCATTTTAGTGCCAGGAAACAGTGGAAGCCTTCTCAATCATTTAAAAGGCTCACGTGCAGCAAGTGAGGGTGATTGTGATGAAGAATTTATTGGGAGTAGGGTTGTTTTAATCATTTTGCAGCAAGGGCAAATTGATGAAACATTAAAGACAAGAGCACGTTGTCTATAAGTCGGTTCATACCCCAAAGTTGCCTGTATTCAAATAGCATTTAGATTCAATCTTTTAACTAAATATTTCACTCTACAATCTGATCTCTCCAACAGAAACTGTCTCCATTCTTTCTTCTGGAGTTTTACATGGAATATTTGTGATGAAGATGAGCTTTCTCTAAAAGAAAGGGCCACTGGAGAGCGTTTTCCACCTTTCTTAGGCTTTCTGCAGGCTCTTGTGTTTAGGGTATAGATGAGAGAAAGACCTGCATGTATGCAGAATTTCTCCTTACCTGTCTCATGGAGTGGTGGTGGTGGTGTGCTGTGTAATGGTTCCAACTTATAGCAATCCTGAATAGGATTTCCGAGGCTGTAAATCTATGGAAGCAGAAAGCCTCATCTTTCTCCTGTGAAACGGCTGGTAGTTTCGAACTGCTGACCTTGAGGTTAGCAGCCTGACTCATAACTACTATGCTATCAGAGTTCTTTGTCTAAGGGAGTAGGGTTTGGATATCTGAGGGCTTCTTGGGCACATATGGAGCACCACTGTTCTAATTAGTGGTGTTGTGGATGATGCAATTCCAAAAGCCTCTTTCTACTTTCTGGAAATTAGCTCTCATTATTTGAGATGGTTGTTATAGTGACAGAAAAGGGAGAATGAATTAAGACATGCTTGAGGAAAATTAATAGTAAAACAATAGGTGGAACACACCTACACACTCTTTTATGGATTATTAGTCTAAAGAGTTAGGCCTGAAATGGCATGTGGCCTGCTGCCGTGGTGCTGCTGGTAATTTTTTGAGAGGGCTTCAAAAAGTTCATGAAAGAAATGGAATGAAAAGATAATGGAATTTTCCCACAAGTGTTTTGCCGCCCCTACGTATGATATCTATGGAATTTCCTAAGCATTAATTAGTCTATCAGGCTGGTTTCTACCTTAGAAAGCCTGGGGCACCTCACTGTGAGGGGAGGAAAGTACATGACAGATGAACAGACGAAACACAGTTCTGTGCATTTTGGGGTACACAGTCACTATGCCGGTATGTAGTATGTAGGCCGCTGGGATGGAGGTGCTGAGGGATTGAAGGACATCCTCATCATGACTGGATCTTCTCCATGAATCTATACTTCAGCCCGTCTGCACATGCATGCCAGGGATCTGCATACTGGCATAGTGACAGTGTGCCCCCAAATGCATAGGGTTATGTTTTGTCTGCTAAGCAAGACTCCTGTGCTCCTGAGTGGAAGTGTCCATGTGTTGTAAGCAGTTAATGCCCTTCACGGTTAACTGAAAGGTAGGAGAGGTTCACCTACAGGTTCCTTAGAAGAAAGGTGATCTTCTGCCCCAAACTCAGCCAATGAGAATCCCATGGAGCACAGCTCTACTCTGACACGTGTGGGGTTGCCAAGAGTCAGAATCCACTTGACACTAAATGGTTTCTGAACAGGGTATTACTATTGTTTTTTCCTCCTCAGAATAGAAATAAGCTTTCAGGTATAGGTTAGGAATGCAAAGACTCAGAGAGAAATTGGAATAAAATGGCATCCCCAGTTGACAAGCTGTTAAGATGACACCATTAGGGACCAGAAGACATGTCAGTGCTTCTAAAGTCAGTGCCACTATTGCTAATCTCTGACAGGGACTGAGCAGCTAGGAGGAAGGTTCTGGAAAAGTACACTAAACTTGCTTCTATTTCCAGTCCTCCTCGCCAGAAAGGATAAGCTATGCTGATTATCTCTGAGGAGATATCTTAAAAGCTTAATTACACCAACATTTAAATCATCTCTTTAAAATGGGCTGGATGACTGTGCTTACTTACACTAGCCTTCTTTTTACATATCCCAAGGGGCTTCTTCAGACTTGTGTATAAATCAGTCAATAAGCAAGTGCGTCTGGAGAGCTCACTGCAGGCTCAGTGCACAGCTTGGGTTCTTAGCAAGTCTCATTGTAGGCAAATTGGTGGACTGTGGTGGAGCTTTTGCCTATGACTTTCCCCTCCTGTACCATTTCAGGTCAGAAGCCAGGATTATAAGGATTCACTGAAGGAGGAAGAAAACCGGAAATTGCAGAAAATGAAGGCTGAGCTGCGCCAAAAGGTATTCACAAGGCCCTACCAGTTATTGCTCACTATTTGCTTGTGGTACTAAATAATTTTGTTTTTATTGTTATCAAAATATATATGGTCTGGGCAACATTTTGTTTTGTTATGCAGAACATGAGGTCATTGCTGAACAGCAACTAACAACAAAGCTATATAACAAAACTTTTGTCACCAACAGTGTTTAGATACACAGCTGAGTGACATGAATTATGTCCTTCATAACTGTTACCAGTAACTATTTCCAAAAGTTTCCATCACCCTTAACAGAAACCAAGTGCTCCTGCTTTCTCCCTGTTACCCCATTAAGGAGCCCCAATGGCACTGTGGGTTAGGTGGTGGGCTGCTAACCACATGTTGTCAGTTCAAACCCACCAGCCAGTCTGTGGGAGAAACAGGAGGCTGTCTACAGCCTTGAAAACCCTACATCAGGTCTCTGTGAATGGGATCAACTCAATGATGGTAGGTTTGGTTTGTGTTTTTGCCCCAGTCCCCAGTAGTAATCATTGGTCTCTATGTATTTGCTTAGTCTAGAAGGTTAATGTAAGTGGGATCATACAAGGTTTGTCCTTTCATGGCTGACTGACATCACTAACACGGTTTCTAAGGTTTGTCTAGATCATAGCGTGCATCAGGACCTTATACCCCTTTGTGGTTGAGCAGTATTTCATCGTATTCAGATCGTGGTACTAGGTCATTTTGAAGTGTTTATGAGCAGAAATATTTGCATACATAGAATTATGTTGTTGTTGTTATGTGCTGTGGAGTTGGTTCTGACTCATAGCGACCCTGTGCAGGGTTTCTGAGGCTGTAAATCTTTATGGGAGCAGAACGCCTTATCTTTCTCCCATGGAACAGCTGGTAGTTTCGAACTGCTGACTGTGAGGTTCGCAGCCCAATTTGTAACCACACACAAAAAATCTTGGAAGCATTGAAACTAAAAGGCGAGTTTTGGGTACATTTTGAAGATATGGTGGTGGCTCCTTCTGGCCCAGATGCTCCAAGTATTAGCTTCATTTCAGGCTCAGTGTGTAGGAGGTGCCAGCAGTCTGTGGAAAAATGATAGTTCCCATGTGATTTCTGATCTGCAGAACAAACTTGATTTATACTATTGCTATTTTTAAAAGAGAGCATGTAAAATTGGAAACAATGCCTAATGAATAATAGTGCACACCAATCAGAGCAGATATGCAATGTTATGAGACTGGCTCACCTATTCACCTAAAACAGTTATATATGTTTAATAAAGCACATGTAATAATAACACTACCTATGTATACACACATGTGAGTCATTCCAAATGTTTTGAGCAGTAGAACTTGGTGAAATGATTGCAGAGCCTCCTAAGAAAAACACTGAAGAAGGGGTGATTCTCATTAGCATACTCAATTTCTGGCATGCTAACTGGTAGTATTCAGTGCTGGGACTTGATGGTCGTGCCCAGCCTCTGATCAATAGTTTGAGACAGCGTCAGGATTGAGTTGGCATGAGATGAGAATGATGAGGGTGGTTCAAAAGTGCCACCTCATTGAAAATCCTTTAAGTCAGCAAAGTAAAATAAATGGTTCAGCTAATTCCATCATTTCAGCACGTCCTCCACACCAACTTTTCTTCTTGCCATATTGGTGGTTGAGAAATCCTGTCAGTATTTCTTCTACCATGCTTTTCATACCTATTTCATTGTTTATACAATAAACTGCAATTCTAATTTCTGTTCTGATTTTCTTCCCCCCCCCCCTTTGGTTTATTTATTTTTATGTTTCTTCCCCCTAAAAATATATTTTAGCAATCATTGCAAATCATTTTGTGAAAGGTACTCGTCAGCACTTAACAACAGCAACAACATATATGTCTATATATGGGTTAATGTGCTGGATTGCAAAGTCATTTGAACCACAAGGTCAGTGGTTCCAGCTCACCAGCCGCTCCTTGGAAATCCTATATAGGGTTGCTATGGGTTAGAACCGACTTGACGGCATTTAACAACAACAACAAATAAATGTATACTGGAGTCCTGGTGTGATGCTGTAAGGTAAGCACTGGACTGCTAACTGTAAGGTAAACTGTTACTTTACCAGCCGCTCCTTAGAAACCCAACACAGGTTCTCTATGAGTTGGAGCCGACCTGATGGCACTTAGCAAGCAAACAAGTAAGCGTACATTGTACTAATACATAGACTAACCATTGTTGTTGTGATTGGACTCTTTCAGTTTGTCTTCCCCTCAATACTGATCATAATTTCACCCAGTAGACAATGAAAATACTATGTAACTGGGCTTTTCTTTTTGTTTTCTTGTAGGTAGTCCTTAAATCATTGAATGAAATAATGTATAAATGTACTTTTTAAGCTACTATGTAAGCAAGAGAGAAACCATGGAATATTTTTGTCATTTGGTGATTTTTCAAATCCACCAGTCACTCTTCAGAAACCCTAAACAGCGTTGCTCTGAATCAGAACCGACTTGATGGCACTTAACAACAACATGTAAGCAAGAGAGAAACCATGGAATATTTATCATTTGGTGATTTTTCTAAAGCAAATATCTTTCAATTTGTAATGTTTTTGTAAGATTTTAGTAATGAACAAGTGGAAGATTAATCTGGAATATGGTTATGTTGTATTTTCAGAAATGACTGTTAAGTGGCATGAAAAAGTACATTTATTTCTATGAGCTTTGAAATACTATAGAGTTGTACAGTTTTAGATACATAAGTCAATTGTTATTATTGTTGTTAAGTGCCGTCAAGTCATTTCTGACCTATAGCAACCTGTGTAGGGTTTCCAAGGAGCTGCTGGTGAGCTTGAACCGCTGGCCTTGCAGTTCAAACGGCTTTGCAGTCTGGTGCATTACCTCACAGCGCCACACCAGGACCCCGAAGTCAATTGTAGATATGATTTATTTTAATACTCATATAACTTCTAGTGAGTCTTGGTGTTTTTTAAAGTTTTCTGTACATATTTGGAATGTGAAACACATGAAAAATCGAACATTTCACAAAGAGAAGGCTCAACAGATTAGAAAATCAGAGGTGGGATTAAATTTTCAGGCTGAGCAGTTATCATAACAGTGAAAATTAAGCCTTTTGTTTCTTACTAAATCGTGTTTTTCTTCTGGAGTTAGGTAAATATTGATACATACATGTTTTATGGCTATTGATTGAACATTTTTTTCTAAAAATTACATAACCTTCTACTTGTTACTTTTCCTTACTTATTGTATCTTTACAGTAAAATGAAGGAGCATGGTAACGTAGTGAATTACAAGCTGGCTTCTAACCACAAGCATAGTAGTTCCAATCTACCAGCTGCTCTGTAGGAGAAAGATGAGGCTTTCTGCTCCCTTGAACATTTACAGCCTTGGAAATGCTATACAGGGTCACTACGAGTCAGAACCGACCTATTGGCACACCACTACCACTGCCACAGTAAAATAAATTGTTTTGGTATATAGGTAATTCCATCTTTAAGGTCTTCAATAATAATAGGAAATACAAAGATATTTGCCTCTCTAGTCTGCTTAATAAGTGGGCTGGTGGCTTAGTGGGTTCCATGTCAGACTGCTAAAAGATAAGGTCAGCAGTGTGATTCCACCACCTGCTGTTTAGGAGAAAGATGAGGCTTTCTGCAGCTGTACAGATATGATTTTGGAAATCCTAAATCCTGTGAGTCAGAATCAACTAGACAGCACTTAAGAACTGACAGTAATCATCTACCTGCTGGTGCACTGGTTAAGGTACTTGGCTGTTGATCAGCACGGAGGTGATTGGAATCACCAGTCACTCGGCAGGAGAAACCATCTGGTGATCTGCTTCCATAGAGATGGTTGTTGTTGTTAAGTGCCATTGAGTCAGTTCTGACCCATGGTGACCCTGTATGTAGGGGTGGGGAATGTCTGGACCGTAAAATCATTTGGTATGGACATGCCAAGGCAGCCACAGTTTCAGCCATCATTTTGGTGGTGCTGGTGCCAATGAGTTGGTTTCAATTCATAGTGACCCAGTATAGGGTTTCCTAGGCTGAAAATCTTTATGAGGGTAGAATGCCTCATCACCAAACAACTGGTAGATTTAACTACTGACCTTTCAGTTAACAGTCCAGCTCATTCATAATTCACTGTGCTACCAGGGCTCCTTAGCCATCACATTGTTGTTGTTTTTAAGTGCCATCGAGTCTGTTCCAACCCATAGAAACTCTGTATAGAATCTCCGAGGAGTGGCTGGTGAGTTTGAACCACCAACCTCGTGGTTCAAACCAACCTTGTGATTGAGTGCTTATCCTACACCAGGACTCCTAACTATTGCCTTATGGGTGAGTTAATGTTTAAGTTGATAATTTTGTCTGGCCTGTGAATAATGTTATAGCATCCAAATGACCCTTAGCAGAGAAAAGTTTCCTCACTCTGCAAGTGTATAGGATTTCCCAGGAGAAGCTGGTGGGTTTGAACCACTGACCTTGTGGTTAGTTGCCCAGTGCTTATCCTATAGTGCCACACCAGGACTCCTCCATAAAGATTACAATTTAGAGAACCATGTGGGGCCGTTTTACTTTGTCCTGTGGGATGACTATAAGTTGGAATCAACTCGATGCCACACATCAGTAACACAACAGTCTACCTTAGTTTTGTTCCCCATTTTTTGTTCAGTTTAGTTGTTGTTAGAAAATATTCATTGAAGGTATCCCGTTTTGTAGGGCCTGACATTGTTTATAACTTTATTGATTTACTTTAAGAAAATGAGAAAGATTGTGTTTATTAAATGAAGATGCAAAAAATAGCACATTTTTGTCTTATATTGTATATATTTGTTTTTTAATTCAATTCATTCAGTGTATCTTTGTTGAATGCCTACTCTGTACTAGGCATTACCCAAAGCAATGTGTTAGTTCTTAGGTGGATAATCTTAGGTTTTGTTTTGTTAATGGCACATTATATTTTGACGTATGTGTCTTTACTTTCAGCCTTCCATTCCTTGGTCTCTGAAGATAGAGAGTTCTTCCT